CTAATGGAAAATTAAAATAAAAAGAGACAGGCTGAAGATAGCGAAGGTGAAAGAAAGAAAGAAAAAAAGAAAGAAAGAAAGAAAGATTAAGAAAGAAAGATTAAGAAAGAAAGATTGAGAAAGAAAGAAAGATTGAAAAGGAAAGAAAGAAAGAAACACAGCATGAAAGAAAGAAAAAAGAAACAAACACAGCATGAAAGAGAGAAAGAAATACAACATGAAAGAAAGAAACAAACAAACAAACACAGCAGGAAAGAAAGAAAGAAAGAAAGAAAGAAAAGAAAGAAAGAAAGAAAGAAACACAACATGAAAGAAACAAACAAACAAAACACGAAGGTACAAAGAAACAAAGAAACAAAATTGAAAGAAAGAAAGATTGAAAGAAAGAAAGAAAGATAAGAAAGAAAGAAAAAAGAAAGAAAGAAAGAAAAAAAGAAAGAAACAAACAAACACAGCATGAAAGAAAAGAAAGAAAGAAAGATTGAGAAAGAAAAACACTGAGAAACATGAAAAGATAGAAGAAAGAAAAACAAACAAACACAACATGAAAAGAAAGAAAGAAAGAAAAAAAGAAAGAAAGAAAGAAAAAAAAAGATTGAAAGAAAGAAAGAAAAAGAAATAAAAGAAAAAAAAAAAAACACAGCATGAAAAAGACAAAAAAAAAACAAACACAACATGAAAGAAAGAATGAAAGAAAGAAAGAAACACTACACGAAAGAAAGAAACAAACAAACACTCCATGAAAGAAAGAAAGAAACAAAAAAACACAGCATGAAAGAAACAAAGACACACAACATGAAAGATAGAAACAAACAAACACAGCAGGAAAGAAAGAAAGAAAGAAAGAAAGAAAGAAAGAAAGAAAGAAAGAAAGAAATGTTCAGAGAATAAAACAAAGACAGAATAAAAATCATAGAAAAATAAAAGAAGAATAAATAAAACACAGACAAAGAAAAACAAAGGAAGGAAGGAAGGAAGGAAGGAAGGAAGGAAGGAAGGAAGGAAGGAAGGAGGGGAAGGAAGGAGGGAAGAAGGAAGGAAGGAAGGAAGGGAGGAAGGAAGGAGGAAGGAAGGAAGGAAGGAAGGGAGGAAGGAAGGAAGGGAGGAAGGAAGGAAGGAAGGAAGGAAGGAAGGAAGGAAGGAAGGAAGGAAGGAAGGAAGGAAGGAAGGAAGGAAGGAAGGAAGGAAGGAAGGAAGGAAGGAAGGAAGGAAGGAGGAAGGAAGGAAGGAAGAAGAAGGAAGGAAGGAAGGAAGGAAGGGAGGAAAGGAAGGAAGGAGGAAGGAAGGAAGGGAGGAAGGAAGGAAGGAAGGGAAGGAAAAGGAAAGGAATAATAGGCAAACGGAAAAATAAAGAAGAATGAAAGAACATGAGATGAAGAACTCAGCAAAGAAATGAAAGTAATTGTATGATATGATATATAGAAGATAAATTATACAACAAAAGGAAAAGAAAGAAAGAAAGAAAAGTTCAGAGAATGAAATGAAGGCAGAATAACAGTCCTAGATAAATAAAGAAATAAATGACACAAATAAAAGAATGAAACAAAGAAATAAAGAACATGCAACGGAAAAGCAAAGGAGAAGGAAGGAAGGAAGGAAGGAAGGAAGGAAGGAATGACAATCAAACTGAACAATAAAGAACAATGAAAGAACATGAGATGAAGAAGTGAGCAAAGAAATGGACGTAATTGTATGCTATGATATATAGAAGTTAAATTATACTTCAAGAGGAAAAGAAAGAAAGAAAGAACGAAAAAAGAAAGAAAGAAAGAACGAGAATGATTCAAGGAAAGAAAAATAATAGCGCAGAAATTTAAAAAAGCGGAGAACGGTCCATAGAACAAAATATTTCGAAGGAAGGAAGGAAGGAAGGAAGGAAGGAAGGAAGGAAGGAAGGAAGGAAGGATAACCAAACGGAACAATAATGAAGAATAAACGCACATGAGATAAAGAAGAACTAAGCAAAAAAATGGAAGGAATTGTGCGATATGGTATATAGAAGTTAAATTATACTTCAAGAGGAAAAAAGGAAAGAAAGAAAGAACGAAAGAAATGTTAAAGAATGAAATGAAGACAGATTGACAGTCCTATAAAAATAAAAGAATAAAAGAGTCAGAGAAAGAAAAAACGAAACAAAGCAATAAAGAACTTGCAAAGGAAAAGCAAGGGGTGAGGAAAGAAAAGAAAGAAAGAAAGAAAGAAAGAAAGAAAGAAAGAAAGAAAGAAAGAAAGGAAAAGCAAGGGGTGAGGAAAGAAAGAAAGAAAGAAAGAAAGAAAGAAAGAAAGAAAGAAAGAAAGAAAGAAAGAAAGAAAGGAAAAGCAAGGGGTGAGGAAAGAAAGAAAGAAAGAAAGAAAGATTGAGAAAGAAAGCAAGGAAAAGCAAGAGGTGAGAAAAGAAAGAAAGAAAGAAAGAAAGAAAGAAAGAAAGAAAGAAAGAAAAAAGGAAAAGCAAAGGAAATAAAAAGAAGAAAGAAAGAAAGAAAGAAAGAAAGAAAGAAAGAAAGGAAAAGCAAAGAAAGAAAAGAAAGAAAGAAAGAAAAAAGAACGAAAGAAAGAAAGAAAGAAAGAAAGAAAGAAAGAAAGGAAAAGCAAGGGGTGAAAAAAGAAAAGAAAGAAAAGAAAGAAAGAAAAGAAAGAAAGAAAAAAGAAAGAAAGGAAAAGCAATGGGTGAGGAAAGAAAGAAAGAAAGAAAGAAAGAAAGAAAGAAAGAAGGAAAGAAAGAAAGAAAGAAAGGAAAAGCAAGGGGTGAGGAAAGAAACGAAGAAAGAAAGAAAGAAAGAAAGAAAGAAAGAAAGAAAGAAAGGAAAAGCAAGGTGTGAGGAAAGAAAAGAAGAAAGAAAGGAAGAAAGGAATAATAACATAAACGGAAAAATAAAGAAGAAAGAACATCAGATTAAAAAGAAGTAAGCGAGGAAATGGAAGAAAAGGTTAAATTATGCATCAAGAGAAAAAGAAAGAAAGAAAGAAAGAAAGAAAGAAATAAAGAAAGGATAAAACGCGTAGAGAAAGAAAAAAAAAGAATTAAAGGTTTGAAGAAAATAAATAAATGTCCTGAGAAATAAAAAAGAAAGAATTAAAATAGAAGAAAAGAATAAAGAGAAAATAAGTAGAAAATAAGAAAAGAAGAAGAAAATTAAAAAAAATAGGTAAAATGGGAAGAAAAGAAAAAGATGAATCGGGTAAAGAAGAGAAAGTAAAAATGGAAATAAAAAAAATAGAGAAGAAATGAAAAAGAATGAGAGAGAAAGAGGGGGAGGAGAGAGAAGGAGAGAAATAAAAAGAAAGAAAGAATGAATGAAAAGGAAGGAGAAGACAGAGACATAATTTTAAAAATATAGATTAACCAATAAGAGAACGGCAATATAACCACGTGAGCAGAACGGATGGATAAAAACCGGCCTTCTAATTTTTTTTTTTTTTTGTTTTATTTCTTGAATGTCAATTTTCATTTAAAACCTGGATTATCCAAGAAAGATTTTCTAGGGCTAGTGAAGGTCCTACGAAAACAATAATGAAACTCGTGAAATAAAGAATAGATCTCAAAGACAGGCGTTACCGAAGCTATGAGGTTTATTTCTAACAACATAAGGTGAAAGAGGAAATGGCTTTAAATCGAACGGGGAGGGGCCGATGAGCAGATACAAATGATGTGAAGCTTCGTATTTCCGCTGAGTGGCTGGGTGACCGGGGTGCAAACGCTAGCTGGATGCATGAAGGATTTTTTCTCCGCCCATGTGGAGGCTGGTATTTGAACTCGAAAAGGGGACGCGTTTTTGCAAGCGTCCAACACTTGTGGGCATATGTGATTGCCCCTAATTGCGCATGCGCCGCTCGTATTTTCGGCTCTCGCCAGATTGCAAGTTAACGAGGCCTTTTCTCATCTTTATCGCTCGCTTTCTCATTCAATCCAACGCATATAAATTGACAACCCGTCCCCCCTCCTCCGCACACAACGAGGCTTCCAATATCAAATCAACGTTTATTGCTTGTTTACCATTTCCCGATATTACAAAACCGACACCGCCTCCTCTTCTCTATAACCAAAAACGCTAGTGAGAACGCCCCCACCCCCAGCCCCAACAACTAAATTTCAGGACAGTGCACGTAAAAGAGAGAATGGATCGTTTAATAAGGTACTTAAATATATTTTCTGAAATAAACTCCCATCACATCTATCTATCTATCTATCTATCTATCTATCTATCTATCTATCTATCTATCTATCTATCTCATACCATTCTGTTTATCTATCTCGCTATCTAGCTATTCCGTTCATGTCTATATCTATCTATCTATCTATCTATCTTAGTCTGTTCATATCTATCTATCTATCTATCTTAGTCTGTTCATATCTATCTAATTTTGTTCGTGTCATATCTATCTACCTTACTCTGTTCATATCTATCTCAATCCGTTTCTTTTTTTCTTTCTTTCTTTCTTTCTTTCTTTCTTTCTTTCTTTCTTTCTTTCTTTCTATCTATCTATCTATTTCATTTTGTTTATCTATCTCGCTACCGAGCTAGCTAGGTAAGTAATTAACTCGCAAGCTAGCTAAATAGATATTCCGTTCATCTATCTATCTATCTATCTATCTATCTATCTATCTATCTATCTATCTATATGTCTGTCTATCTTTCTATCTATATATCTATCTATCTATCTTCGTCTGTTCATTTCTATCTTATTTTGATCGTATCATATCTACCTTACTCTGTTCATATCTATCTCATGCTGTTTCTTTCTTTCTTTCTATCTATGTATCTATCTATTTCATTGTTTATCTATCTCGCTAGCTAGGTATGTAATTAACTCGCAAGAGAGTTATATAGATATTCCCTTCATCCATCTATCTATCTATCTCGGGGTATATAGATAATGACCTATAATCTGCTATTAAATGGGACAAGCAGTGACTTGTTAATTGTAACGCACCCAAGATGATACACCTCACTACTAATCATCTAAGAAACTACCTCTCTACTTTTCCTCACTATGACTGATGCTAACCTCCAATAAAGTGACTCGTTTCGCCTTCACTCTGGTTCACTTTGTTGTGTAGGTGAATTATTCTTGTCAGAAGCTCTGTTACACAGTATAAGTTTGTCATTCGTCAACCTTTGTATATTGCTGCCACATCTTCCCTGGTGCTCCTGCTATATATTTAGAGATTCTTGATAAAATAGTCGAGGCTACAATGGCATTGGTCCTGAGCTGTTATTTCAACTTCATTCCATTTCACACCGCCGTAATATATCTTCCCAGTGTTTCTTTTTTTACTATAAATACTTACATGGTAATTGCTCTGGTGAACTTACCTCTCAAGCACCTTGATTTTATGAATTTAAGGGCAATATTAGATTGGCTGCAAGGTTTTATCAATTTACAGCTGAACTGGTCAGATATAACCATGTGTTCTCTGCTAACAGTTTCTTTTCTCGCACTTGTCACTTGTGGAACTTGTGGCTTCTTAGTTTCGCGCCAACTCTGAACCTCAAAAATTTAAATGCAATGTCAATTATTATCTTCTGTCTTCTTGATTCTCCTTTTTTAAGTTTTCTCTATCTTTAATAATGTTTCTTTTTCTTATTTCTTCACATTCGGATGTCTAGTCGCACTGAGGAGCTGTGATACAGCGAAACAATAATGTTTACGAATGATATATATATATATATATATATATATATATATATATATATATATATATATATTTAACCGATTAAATAGGTCAATGTTTAATCCTTACCCGCTCCTTCCTCAATACTGAGTATATGATAGAAAGAAATATAAACACTCAGTAATCACTTGTGACTTTATTGCTTTACTTGAATTGGAATGATTAATAAATCGTTATCTCCTGTTTTTTTTACTACCTGTACTTTTATTGTTCTCTCTACTAAATAATTTTTTTCTCTTTTTTAGATTATTTCAAACCCAGTAACCCCTTTCCATCTTAGTGACTTTATTGCCTTGCTTGGAGAGCAAGGATTAAAATTCAAATGCAAACACAATTGTTATCTTGTCTTCTTGATTCCTCTTCTTTTATTGTCCTCTCTCTTTAATGTTTGTTTTTCTTTTCGTGTTGTTTCCAGCCCAGTAATCACTTGTTTCTTAGTGACTTTATTCCCTTGAGAGGCCATTAAATCATCGTTAATTCACAGTAATGACAATCATGTCTATTTTCTTCATGGAGTTTCCTTGCGCGCACAAGCATTTGACAGCAAACTCATTGGTGATGTAACGAAACGTGTTTGTCAAATCTGGAGCAGCACATAGGTTGGCAAGGCTTGATAGTTTCCAAAAAAATAGATCATAAATTGATTCTAATTTAGCCAAGAATCTTGATGACACTGTGAAGGAGAATTTTAAAATTACGTTCTCGATCTTGTCCAAAGTATAGTGTTATAAATATTACAATTTGACTCGGATGATTGACGATATGTTGGAGAAATTAAAAGTTTAAAAAATAAATAAATAGAGCAGTCAACAAAATCAAAAACAAACAACACGCATGCGAGAAATTAAAAGAAGAAAATGATGACAATTTAGCCATATATATATATATATATGTGTGTGTGTGTGTGTGTGTGTGTGTCTCACTCTCTTTTTAGCTATAATCATCATGAGCGGTAATAAAATAAATTTAGTCTTTTCATGGCGGTCATATATATATATATATATATATATGTGTGTGTGTGTGTGTGTGTGTGTGTGTGTGTGTGTGTAACTGTACCGAGTGAATATAGCTCCGTGTTAGAAGCTCTGACTGACACCAAATCAGTTGGTTTTAGATCCTGTTTGCGGCATTCGGGTGTCTAGTCGTACTGAGGAGCTGTAATAGAGCAAAACAGTACTGTCTGCAAATACATAATTTAGCTCTTAGCCACCTGCGTTAATGCAAAGCTCTTCAGTAAAATGAATGGAACACTTTGGCTGATTGGCATTTGTTTACATTTGTAAAAAACAATACGCTAGATTTAAAATCTGTGACTCCACTGAGTGAAGATAACTAGTGGTAGAAGCTCTGATTGGCACCAAATCAGTTGGGTTTGAGGCATTCGAATGTCTAGTCGCACTGAGGAGCTGTGATACAGTGAAACAATACTGTTTGCAAACGACATAATATATATATATATATATATATATATATATATATATATATATGTGTATATATATATATATATATATATATATATATATATATATATATATATGTGTGTGTGTGTGTGTGTGTGTGTGTATTTTCGAATAGGTCAATGTCTTTTCCTTCCTCAATATTAAGTATGATAGAAAGAAAATATAAAAATAAACTCTAAACTGACCATTTTCCTCACACCACTCCTCCGCTACCCTCTCTGTTAAATTACATAAACTTAATACCACCCGTCAAAAGTGTAAATTTTTATTTCATTTTTTCGTTTCACCTTTGGAAAGTGATGTCCGAAGATCCAGGGTACATTAAAAGGTCTCTGGTGAAATAAACTTTTACAATGGAACCTTAAAGTGGACTATTTTTTCTTCAATATATATATATATATATATATATATATATATATATATATTATTCCAGGATCATTTTCCAAGACTTTGCTCACTGCTCTTTGGACTGTCCTAGCTGAAACTTCTCTTCACAGAATAATTCTGATTCAGAATTATTGTGATGACCCATAGGTGAAACCTAGGTAGATAGGTTCTGGCTTTTAGGTATATATATATATATATACGCCTGTTTTACTGACATTGAAATTTCCTATATATCGGGCATCAAAATCGATAATATTTTTACAAGGCATAAGCTTCTACTCCTGTTCAAAAGGTAAAGGGGGATTGTGAGCCGGGCGATTGTAAATATCCGTTTATCAGATGTACGACAGCTTATATGCAAACTGGAAAAATGTTTTAGAAAATATTAAACAGGAAAATCTTATCGGTCAATTTCAATAAATCATGATTGAAGGACATACTGCTGCCTAAATAAACTTTTCTCTCCTTCTCTCTCCCTTTCTCCCTCTCTCTCACTATATATATATATATATATATATAAGCTTCAAGATAGGACATCTAACATAGACCTGTTTAATAGGTGTAATATTGGAGGAATCGAGACTTTTCTCATACAGTCTCAGTTACGCTGGACTGGTCATGTCTTATGAATGTCTAATGACAGGATACCCAAGATCCTAATGTGCAGCCAGTTAGTTCAGGGCTACAGGAATGTAGGACGCCCATGGCTAAGAAACAAAGACAAGCTGAAAAGACAACTTGTCAGCAGTTAATATACCACATAACACCCTTGAGCGCTTAGCTTTGGAGTGGGTAGAATGGAGATCAATGTGTTTTAGTGCATTCAGCAGTTTTCAATCTGCTTGTCTGAATGGTCTTCAAGAAGCGAGAGCATGATCTAAAAGGTCAACCAATCTAACAGTGATCTCATCTCACAATCCTCACACTTGCTCCATGTGTGGCCTCCTTTTAAATCACTAGCGGGTCTTAAATGCCACTTAAGATTTTAAACTTTCATAACTGAATCAATAAGCTGGCAGATCCTCATACGTCGAAACCGACAGGAGAGTCCGATATATATATATATATATATATATATATATATATATATATATATATATATATATATATATATATATGATATTTAAAGAGCCAGATAAACCTACCTAGATTTAATAAACGGATCGTCAGGGTAACTGGCCAGTTTACCTGACGAGTGAAACCTAGGTAGGTTTATCTGGCTCTTTAGGTTTATATTAGGTTTGCTCTACTTTGTGTATTGAGCACTTTTCGTAGATACTTTTACTTGTTTTCGAGGTTTTTTTCTTTGGACTCTGAGCATGAATTCTGAACGATTTTTTCGCCTCAATTACATGTTCTTAGTTCTTTCTTTTTTTTATTCCTCATTTTTCCTTAGGTATTGGTTTGTCTAACTACAAGCCGAAATACCTTAGGTTTTTTCCAAACGAGTAGCACTATATATATATATATATATATACATTTGATTTACTTGTTTACTGCTTACTTCATGTGAAAGGGAGATTAAGGACATACAAAACTGTGCGATTTCTACTGTTTTTCAGGAGCATTTTGTTCATCAATAGTTGAACTTTGTTACAATATGAATCTCTGCGACATCCTTTCTGTTCGAAGAGAAGAATGTTGTTTTCAGCCAGAAGAGAGTAGGTACTGTTCGTCAGGATAGACGTGGCCAATTCATATATTTATATATATATATATATATATATATATATATATATATAAAGTGGTGATATATATATATATATATAAAAGTGGTGATTTCCTTTCGTCTTTCAATGAGTGTAAATATAAAGGTGAACATTAAAGTCAACACTTCTGTTATCAATTATAGGCATTTAAGAATATTTGTGGAGATTTCGTAGTTTATTTTGTTCAGGTTAGGTTTCAACTGTTTTTTGTATATAGCTTCAAGATTTTAGGTTTTTTTTGTTTTCGTCCGTGTATTGTTTGATATATTGAAATAATTGTCATCTTTGATAATGGCTTATGCAAGCCGAAAGCTTAGATTGGATTTAAACATGTATCAATATGGTGATTTCTTTTCGTCTTTCAATGATAAAGTTATTAAGCTTATCAGAAAATATGAAAAAAGAACTTACTTAAAATCGACAAAACTTGTCTATATTATTTAATGAAACATATATATATATATATATATATATATACATATATATATATATATATATATATATATATATATATATATATACATATATACATACATATATATATATATATATATATATATATATATATATATATATATATATGTCTATACACTAAAGCTGTGAAACAGCGAAACAGTCTGTCTGTGGATGACGGTATATATATATATATATATATATATGTGTGTGTGTGTGTGTGTGTGTGTGTGTGTGTGTGTGTGTGTGTGTGTGTGTGTGAAAATATATAGAAAATTGGAAAGAACTCGTTAGGTAAATAATCCAAAAGTTCTTTAGTATTTTTGTTATTATTTAAAAAAAAACAGTGCTCGATAGAAAAGTAGAGCCTAAATATAATTATTTATTTAAAAATATGATTCCATATATATATATATATATATATATATATATAGGGAACTTATATCATCATATCGAAATGTTCTAAGAATTTTAAAGTCCCAGCCTTCAAAAAACATATGTGGGTTCTATTGACACTCTGACATTAAAAGTAAGCATATTATTCTCAATGGCATAAAAATGCTTTTTTTTACACACTTCAATGATTTTAGAGCTCAGAATTTTCATTCTTATTATTTCACAGTCCTGAATGACAACCTGCCTGGCGCCAACACCCATTTTCCCGCCACTAGAAAACGTTTGTCGCGAACGCCATTTTGAAGTTTAAGGTCGAAGTGGAGAAACAGACAATGACAAAACAGAGTACAAGTTCTTTTCAATCTCTTTATTGACTTGTTCCATTAATACGCGATACGACACACAATACATTTTTTTAACTTACAAAAACGATTATCCGATTGTCATTTTTATTTTTTGTAACACATTTCGGACAATTTTTCTCTGATATAGGCAAGCATATATATATATATATAAAAATAACAGACTAATATATATGTATCGAGATAGACAGATAGATAGATAGATAGATAGATAGATAGATAATGAACATACATACATACATACATACATACATACATACATACATACATACATAGATAGATAGATAGATAGATAGATAGATAGATAGATAGATAGGCAGGCACCTCCAGGTGGCGTAATGGTTAGCAAACTTGTCTCGCTAGAACATTTACGACTGAATAGTAGGTTCGATCCTCACTGGGTGCTCTATACATCCGGCCTTGTGCCACATCTAAGCTACATTTGAAAAATCACTAGATAGCTTAGATGAGGTATTATATACACTATTTACATTGTTCGGACTAATATATATATATATATCACTATCTATTTCAGTTCATATCCCTCTATATCGCTGTCCATTTCAACCTCTTAATCTCTCTCATCTTTGTTGCCATATTTATCACAAAGTTTAGTATTCGGTTGAAATGTCGAACTGAACTCCTTTTTTCGCTCGCTTGGGTAGACTTTTCTAGTTCCACGTGCCATGTCTTATGAATGTCAGTTATCAGTTACCTCCTGTTAATCCCCCTCTTCAAGTTCTCCACCGCCTTAACCAGGTATTGAACTTACACACTTTGGATCCTGTCACTGGATCTAACTAACGCCATGAGTCATTCAGGACATCTGTGTATGAATTTCTGGGATTTATAAACCTAATGTCTTCAGCAACCATTTTTAACAGTGCTCATATTGCAATTTTTGCTGTTATTATTGTTTTTCTCTGGCACTCCTTATTACTGGTTCCTATATTGTATACATTTCTATGCTTGGTCGGCTCAGGAGATTTTTGTGGCCTAGCATATGTGCTATGTCCTTTACGAATTTTCCAATGATGCTCTTTGTCTTTGATCTCAACCTGATCCCCAAAATCTGGTTAAGGCAGTGAAGAACTTCAAGAGGGGAAATAACAGGAGATAACTGATAACTGACAGACATCCATTAAAGATGGCACGTGGAACTAGAACAGTCTACCCCAGCGAGAGAAATAAAGGGTTCAGTTCGACATTCCAACCACCTTAAGAAGGCCAGAGCGTACAATGGTCGAAAAGTTGTGATAAATTTGGCAACAGAGATGAGGATGATAGTCCGAACAATGTAAATATTAGGTTGGTGCAAAAATAATGACGTAATAATGTCGTTTTTGACGTATTTTTAAGGTCAAAAACGACATTATTACGTCATTATTTTTGCACCAACCTAATAGTATAGATAGATATGAACTGAGATAGAGAGAGGTAGAGAGAGAGAGAGAGAGATTAAGAGGTTGAAAGAGACAGCGATATAGAGAGATATGAACTGAAATAGATAGACAGATATATATATATATATATATATATATATATATATATATATATATATATGAATGACAGCAACAGATGTGAAACAGGAGCAGAGGTAAATGGATACATATTTTATACCTTAGGCAATGTCATTTCTTAAGACAAATTAAATGGTAATACCAAAAAGATAAGATTTATTAAGAACTACAAAGGAATGTATATTGGAAGATCCTGAAGAAGCCCAGTGGGTACAACCGCCGAAATGTCGTAAATATGGCAACGAAAATGTGAGTCCAAACAATGTAAGTAATTTAAATAATGACAATACATCCTCTCAGAAATATAAACAGATCCTGAGAAAGGGCGGTTTGTACAACGGCCGAAACGCCCTGAATTTGGCAACGAAGATGAGGACAACAGTGCGAAAAATATAAATAATGTAAATAATTACAATACCTCATCTCAGAAATATAGTGAGACCCCGAAGAAGGCCGGAGAGTACAACGGACGAAACGTCGTGAATATGGTAACTAAGATGAGGACAATAGTCCGAATAGTGTAAATAATTACAATACTTCATCTCAGAAATATAGAGTGATCCTAAAAAATGCTGGAGAGTACAACGGCCGAAACCTAGTGACTATGACAACGAAGATGATGAGAACAGTCAGAACAATGTATATAGTGTAAATAATTACAATACATCAACTCAAAATTCACGCAAAAGAAAAACGGGAACTTGAAAACTAGAATCGTGTTTTTGGGTGGCCTTGTCGATCCCAGATTTTCATTTGGATATCATGCATCGTACCAGACTCGAGCAGAAATATCTAAACTTATTACTGTATACAACCTCTTTCTATGATTAATCTCTTTGAGCGATTACTGACTATGGGGCTTAGTGAAAAACCATACCACTTCGAAGTGGCCTGAATCATAAAGAACGGTACAAAATACCTGAAACCACATCACTTGTAACTCAAGTGATGTAACATGTAACTCGAAGAGTAACTTATTGATGTGGGCCCAAAGTTGGAACCACGGAAGGAAAACACGGAACACGGATTAGAGGTAAGAAAGATATATTAAACAGAAAAGTTACAAAGATAGTGTAAGTGTAAGCAGAGCTTACTATGTGCTAGTGTCCAATATTGGTAGTCGTACGCGGCTGATACTACGGTATTAGAATACTCTCTCTCTCTCTCTCTCTCTCTCTATCTATCTCTCTCTCTCTCTCTCTCTCTCTCTTTCCTCCTCTTCTCTTAGAGTATTATATCGCATACTTTATATAGTCCTGGAAGAGTCCATGTTGTAGGTATGTCTCACAACACTTATGTAACATGTAACCCAAAGGGCAACATATGTAAAACGTAACTCGAACAATATGTGTAACATGTAACTCGAAGAGTAAAAAATGACCTAATTAAGATGTTGACGTCCCACACTACTTCAAATTAATTTATAAGAAGGAAACTCCCATAAATAGCAGAAAGAGCAATAACATTTACTGGACTTGAGAAACGGATTTTTCCTGAAAAATTATTTGAAGGATTTATAAATATCAAACACTAGGAATGGTAAAAACTGTTCGGTCAGTGAATGCAGAATATGAGACACCCTGCGCCAACTTGGTCCCACGTTCTCCCCTGACCTGAGGTGGAACAACTACATTGAATCAATAGCTTCATCTACCGCAAGGAAACTTGGTTCTCTGTGTCTTGCCAGAAGGTTTTTTTTCTGAGTCCATGAGTCCATGTACAAATCATATATATATATATATATATATATATATATATATATATATATATATATATATATAATAATAATAATTTATTTAAAAGTATGATTCCATCACTACATAACAGTTCTCATGTTTCAAAACAAGAGCCGAAAACTTCATCTTCAAGCGAAATTCTTTTGGGATCCCTAAAAAAATTTCGCTTGAAGATGGAACAGAGCTTGGTACTTTAATTCAATTTAATTCAAATAATCATATTGAAGTTTTAAGTTATATTTATGCTCTACTTTTGTATCGAGCACAGTTTTTTTTAAATAATAACCAAAACATTAAAGAAATTTGGATTATTTACCTAACGAGTTCTTTCCTATTTTTCTATATATTTTCACACACACACACACACACACACACACACACACACACACACACACACACACATATATATATATATATATATATATATATATATATATATATATATATATATATACCGGGTGCGTGTAACAGCAAAATTGTCCAAATCGTGAAATAGCATAATTGTCCACCCAACAAAATGCTTAATATCTAAAAAAAAAAAAAAAAATTACTAAACTGAGTTTCTTTCTTCCAAGTTTTCAGATAAGACGTTTAGCCATCTTGACACCATTTCTTGGAAGAATCACTGAAAAATCTTTTCAGTTATTCAGCTAGAAAGAGAACAGGTTAAACCCAGACCTACTCTCTTCCCAACTGAGCAATGGCGAGAGGAAAAAGGTCATTCAGGCCTTCAGTAATAGTATCATTATTTATACTCTATCTTCCATCTTGAAAGTCCATTCAAGAGCCATCAAAAGAAATGACTAAAGATATTTTACTGGAATTCCTCGAAGCATTTATAACACTATTGGACTCTACTTTGAGCAATAAGAATGTATATATACACTCCAAGCTAAACAGAAGAATTCTGATGAAATTGATCATAAACGAAAATGAAAAAATGGTCATTAAATAATCATAGCTTAGGTTCGGAAGCTCATGAAATATTAAAATAAAGTTCAAATCAATCCGGGCTTGAGGCATTGGGTTGTCTAGTCACGTATATTCATATCTGCTCAAAGCGTATCCAGATGTAAACAGATGACGTCACATATTATGAAATGAACAAAGTCCGACAATTATTTTAAGACATTTTTATGTTTACTAGCAACATGACCCGGCGTTGCCCGTGCTTGATTCAAAAATAGTACGACTAATACAGCAATCGCTATCACTTGACTTAAAATATTTTTGCCCTTCCTTGACTTTACAGGAGTGCCCTTTGCCATGCTGATGTTGTTAGATGCCTTACTTCTTGTCTATATCACACTGCCAACTTTTTCTAAGCTCTATAGTAAACATTAAATCTGTTACGAAAAAAGAACTAAACAAAATAAACACAATACGATCAGCTTTAAAAAAACGGAAACAAAAAACATTTTTAAGAGTTGACCGATTGTCGATTTGCACTCTGTTTGGTGGGGTGGGGGGGTGCTCAGAGTTGAAACTTCACATGATGACTCCCAATGGCCTCTTCATAAATCCGCTCGGTTTTCGCTAAAAACCGACATGCGGTTCAGACGCAATCTGGGCGTATCGGTTTTGGGGTTTTATCGATTTTCCGCGCTGTTTAGGGGTCCGTGGTCATGAAACTTCTGGACAACACTTCTAATGGTAGACTCTAAAAGGGTGTCAAATTTGGTTGAAATGCGATCATTCCTTCTGTAAGCAGAATTTTTTCGATTATCGATTTTTTCGGAACCTGATTCCGAACTCAAAAGTCGGGCTCCGTCATGTCCTTACGGCAGCCATTTGCAAACTTGTGTTGAAAACCGCATCGAAATCGGGTGAGAAATGCGGCCTGGGCGAGGTAACAACGCCCACGACAGACACACAGACAGACATGAGAAATATAGATAGTAGATAGATACATTCTTTTAATATTTCATCTGTTTACATTTGGATACGCTTTGAGCAGATATGAATGTACGTGGGAGATTCATGGAAGTTTGGAGTTTAAAACAGTAAAATCGACCTTGCTAATCGAAAGATCCTCTGTGGCCAGATCGGTTAAAGGCACGTCAGGCTA